GCCTTTGTCTCCACATTCTCAAGACATATGAAATTACACAAAAGAGGAAAAAAAAACACCCTTTAAAGACATCGAAACTAAGTGATATATAAATAAAAAAAGAAAAAATAAAATAAAACCAAAATATGTAAAAATATAAAATCTCACTAGCAGTATTTACTTTTTTGTTTTAAACGCCCCCCAAAAGAACTAGGTTAAAAAAAAATGAAGAAAAATCTTTTTTTTTATTTTTATTTGATAGTCATTAGATTTGAAGAGACGATGAAAAGAACAGTAATGAAAAACATAAACAAATGCCCTTAATATCCACACCCCAAAATAAAACAGCGACTCACATTAAGCAGATTCGACAGTTTACAGTCCCAAATAAGCATGTTTGACATCATTGTTGCCCTTTAGTTTGTCAGATTAGGTTTTTTTTTAAACGTTTCATTTGAACTCGGCCCATTTTGCCAGCACTCCTGTCGTGGTTGGGGCAAATGTCATGGCTTAAATCAAACAGTGAGTGAAGCAAAGTTCTACTGAGCCGTGGCATTAAAAAAACAAAACATCTAAAACTGAATCTTAGGATGTTTCCACATTTGTCCGCGACCCCTGGTGAATCATTACTCTTTATTGATTCGTGTTTTTTTTTAGTTTTTTTGGCCAGTTTGCCCATTAAGATGTGTTTTTTCACTATTTTTCTTTTTTTTTCTTTCCTGAAATGAAAAATAGAACAAAATATATTGCATTCTTATGAAGGTAATTCCCTTCAGAAGTTGTTTTTTTATTGTATTTTTTATTTGGATTCGCTGTCTATTGACCTAGCACCTAGATCAAAAAGACAGCAGTTATTAATGTTGAAATGTGTCAACGTGTTCTCAAAACACTGCGAAGAATGACCCACATCAAAGTTTTCTATAAGAAAGTATATAATAATCTAGATATCTACACAAACACACAAATATATATATATATATTCATATATATGTATATACCTTTTTTATAGTATGGCTATTGAAAAAATTACGTCAGTAATCATTTAATAATAAACCACTTTGGATTGAGAGAGGTTTAAAGAGTAATATTAAAAGCTAATGATAGCTTTGTTTGCCCCGCAAATTAACTTTTAAGGCTTGCCACGATTAACATCGGATTGATCTGATTTTATCTAAACACCCTCAGAGGCACTATGGCGGCCGCTGTAGAAACCAAAGCTGCACCGCAGACTAAAGTTAGAACTTTAAAGGTATTGTGGAGGATTTTCGCGAATTTTTGAAAAGACATGCCCTCTCCAAGCACATGCACAACCCTGTACCCGCTACCGAAAGGGAACGCCTATTAAATGCGTGTGAGAACGTGCACGACCCCATTTCCCCTCGTGCACGCTCTGCTGAAAAGTTGCTGTTCATATACAGTAGCTTGTATAAGTCTACTGTGCCTGAACGTCCGTCGTAACTCCTAAATCACTACATACAGCGAGGACTTTATAGTGAACTTCGTTCGCACAGATGATCACTGCTTCTTGCTTCCCGTAGATGACGTAACTCTTCCTCCACCGCGCAATGCCTGCGCCATCTTTGTTATTAGTCGCCACTGTTGGGTAGTGACAGCGGGCAGCTTTGACAGCAAATCCCACAATGCTTTGCAAAGGAGAGCTCCCAATGCATAGCATTCTGGGATATATCTGTCTCTTCTGAGGCCTTTCTTTTCTGAGGCCATACACTTCTTAGACACTTTGTCTCTTACGACCGTCAACCATTTTTAAAGAACCGCAGTGAGAAAGGTGAGCTACAATGACTGTCTGAAACCATAGCTCACCACAGATACATGCCTCAAAGTGTGCATGTGTAGAAAAAGATAGCTAACTAGGGACGAGCACGTAGGATGGCCTTATGTAAACATATCACCAGAATGATTGACAATTAGGAGGACCACTTATTTTGATGATGCATCCGGTAAAATATCATCCTCCACTGTACCTTTAACTTGTTTCCTCCCATTCTAAGTTATCGTCTGCAAGAGAAACCTGAAATTCAAAGACAGGTGCAGCGGTGAAAACTAGGATTTCTACAGCGCCACTAATATCTGTTAACATTCACCAGGGTAAAAACCAGCTTTTCTTTGTGCCTCCCTGACTCAAACCTTTACCATAGATATATTTGTATTGTAATTGGCTGTAAAGTAAGTGCTGTATGCAACTCTGATTCAAACCAAACCTGTGCACCATCGAAATGTGGTAATAATATTGTTACAACAGCTTAGAAGAAGAAAATACAGTGAAGGTATTAAACCAATTTTGTGCAGTGAGACGGTTGGAACAACATGTTCCGTTTATCTGCTTACTGACCACATTCTTCCTGTAGATTATCTTTAAAATGGCAGTCTACATACAGTACAGCAGCCTACTTAATCCGCAGCTCCACAATCAACCACACACTGTACATTATTACCTCCGTTTTTTTTTTTTTTCCACAAAGGCTTTCATGAGATTATTACGTATTGCATCGGAAAATTGCTTTTTAAAAAAAACAGGAAAAGCTAGATTCACGTTAAGACAAACAAAACAGAAAAAAAAAAATACAACCTTCTATAGTGAGTCAATGGTGAAACCTTTTTTTTGTCAGCTTTTTTTTTTTTTGCTACAGTGTTATGTTGGACTTTGTGTAAAAATTATTTTCCCTTCATTTCCTCCCTGTATTGAACGAAATTAACATACTAAAACAAAACTGACCTGAAATATCCTGTCTTATCAGTAATCAAGTGTAACCCACCACCACAAATTGAAACAAAAATAAAAAAACACACAATACATTTTATGTTTTACAATGAGGCATAGTGCTATGTACACATTATATATTCATATATTATCTTTTTAACATGTAAACCAGCACATTCTCTCACTTTTTAGTAGTATACATACTAAGCACAAAACCTTACTCAGTTGTTCACAAGTTGTTGCTTTTTTTAGTCTTTTTTAAACAGGCCGCATCTTGTTTTTAACCAGTATGTATAACACTAAAGTGTTAGTTTTGGACATCTGTGAACCTGGAGGAGAAGTCATCCCCTCCAGAATCTTGTCTTATTTCATTTGTAAGCACTGAATAAGGCGCCTTTGTACTTAGTGTGCGTTCCTAATAAAGTCAAAGGAGAAACAAGTGATGTAAACATTCAATTTTTTTGTGTTTGTGTGTGTATGTGTGTACGTTACCAAGATGTGGGTTAGATAGAAAAGACAAGAACCAGGATGGGAAAATGGAGATAAGCTGTTAAAAGTGGGAGCTTTGTGAGGGGGAGAACTGGAGAGGAACCCGCAGAGCAGGAAGTTATAGACAGACTGTTTGTTTTGTTGCATGTCCTGGGCATGGAGAGGGCGAGAAGGTAAAAACTGGAGTGGCACTTCCTTGGAAAAAAGAAAAAAAAAAAACAAGAAAAGAAGTGCATTCAGAGAAGATTTTGAATCTTCGCCAATGAAGTGCACCCAAGGAGCAACCAGTCCACCCGACTACTGTTTGACCTCTCGCTAACCAATTAGTGTCAGCAGCGTCCAACTCAAACACGAGACAAAGACAAAACGTTCAATTACACGAGGATACAACGCTGAGACTCCAACAAACAGACGCCGTCATGAGGCCAGCGGATGAGAGCCTACAAGAGATTACTATTCTAAGGAGCTTGGAAAATGAAACCCACGCCGCTTTTACCACCCGATGCCCTTCAGCTGTGAAAAAATTGAATCTTTGACAAAAATATGTTGATACGTTGATAAATAAGGAGTAGGGAGAATGTTCTGGATGTTGGCCAGGACTGGGATGAAAGGATGTGAGGTAGAGACGCTCATCTGACCCGGTGGATGACAAGAAATTGAATTCTCAGCCGGTTACTGTCTTTGTTCCTAATCCCCTGGCAGCTCCCTGGCTGCGTTACTGGTGGCGGTTTGGGGCCACCGGATTGGCAGGATTCAGAGGCTCTCTAGGTTTTTCAAGGCGTGCTGCTGCTGCTGGCTGCTGTGGCTATGTCAGCTAGTTGCTAACCAAATGCGGTTTCCAATGACTAAGCAAGTCCATCTTATAAAGCACCACAGGATGATTACATTCAACTTAGAATACATTACTACTCCACCTGTGACCATCGTTTATTAATGGATAATGTATTTTGTGCTTCTAAAACCAAACAAGTCATGAACCTTAAATAAACTACTTTAATGACTGAGTTGATTTGATTGGACCCAACTAGGCTACAGTAGAGAACAGGTTGCCGACTTTCTAACTTCCAATTTATCCAATTGTTTATCAGCTTTAAGCGAAACCCTTCCATTGTCAGACCTCTTAAAATATCTAATAGCGAAAAGAAGCTAAAGCTGGTTTACAATAAATATGTGTGTAAAATATTTTGAGCTTGATTCAATTGTTTCAGAATAATGTTAGAAGACAAGAAATATTGTGGTTAATAAGAAATTCTCACCAGTTAGAACTGACATATGAGAATAATCACTGCGCTACCCATGATTCACCAGGACTCGTCTCCATTTTCTGTAAATTTAACCAAAATAAAAGTTTTCCACAACTATATATTTTGAAGCGAGGTGGTGTTATCGGTAAAAGTTATTATCAATAGAAGGGGGAGAGACATTTTTTGAAAAGTGAATAAATCCTGAAAATCCTCCAATGTTTCAGGGTTTATACAGGAATGAGTAATTATTTACTCTTAGAAATTATTTTAATGCCATCAACAATTACCCATTATTCTCATATACTCATATATCTCATACGGCTTTATGATCAACTGCAAGCAGTTTCGCGCCAATAGATAATAATAAAGCATTTGAAATGCCAACTTTAGCATATTTAATGATTTTTAATGCCAATTAAGGCCTTGATTTAAAAAAATAATGATTTAATGACTTTTAATGATTTTTAATGACATGCGGAATCTGCAAGCTGACAGTGATGATAGCTAGCCATGTTAGCACTTAGCCCAACTAAACAAAAGAGGACGGGGAAGGAATAATAAAAAAAAAAACAATACTATATTAAGTGTTATTGTAAATTAAATTTCCGGATCTATGGATATCAGATTTACAGCAAAAGCTGTTTTTTTCTGTTTTATAGATATAAACAATATTTCAGTTAAAAATTTCAGTTAGCATCATAAACAGAAGCCATTTTCCTCACACTGACAATCCTGTTTGCAAAAATCCCTCTAGATCCTAAGTCATCTGATGTTTAATTGCTTTTTTGTGTGTTTTGTTCTTACTTCAACTTTGAAAAAGGAAGCAGAGAAACCGAATATGTCCCCATAACAATAGGGATATTAATCAGACAATATAATTAGTCTGTTACTAGGTAAGCTCTTAAAGTGAGTACTCCTTCCTTGGTCTGAATGGACTGTAAAAATGTGAGAATGTTAAACATTAGAAACAGGTTGTTTGAGTGCGAAGAGCCTACAGCAGCCAGTAGCAGAAGCTAAATAGTTAGCATGGCAGAGTTAGAGACAGAAGGGGGACAAAGGAGACGTTTATCTCCTTTACAGTGCATAGTTCAAATCAAGGAAGCACTACAATTACAAAATAAAGGAAACATGATTTTTTTTCTTCATTTTAGATTTGTAAACTTTTATCAGTCATCCATTGATTACATTAAATGTGTTTGTTATATATTTTGTCCATGAAATACATACAAACACACACCCTCACGCACAAACTCGCACACACAAAGTTTAAAAATCTTTAACATACACAATTATTTTTGCTAAAACAAAACAGACTTTTTTTTATTATCCAGGTCCTGGTAATATGACCAGACAAGCAAACACAGCCTGCGGGTTTACCAGCTGAAACCAGAAAAAGAGAGCTTTTCTCTCTCTCTTTCTGTTTTTTTTTTTTGTTTTTTTGCTTACAAAAACCAACAGAATAAGGAACACGCACACGCAACGACACACGCCACAACGACCAACGCAACGCAGGGTTAGCAAGGATTTGCTACAGGTTTCTCATGCCCGTTCTTCCAAGGCAGGGCAAAGACGACACCGGTACAGACAGGAAGCAGCTTTGTTCTTACATTTGTTCAGAGAGCCGTGTCATTATTGTTTACAGCTGTTGTACCATTGCTGTTTAAAGTCCTTTTTTCCCCCCCTCCACTCTCTTCAACTCCTCGCATCAACTTCCTTGTTTTTAAGCAGTATCCTCCGGTGAAAGAGACTTCAAAAAAAAAAAAAATCAAGGTCTTTGTTACGTTATTCCAATATTAAAAATGTAAACATCTTGCGAGGTTGCCTTGCACGGAGGTACTGTGGGTGTTGTCAGAGGGGTTTACTAAGGCTGGCCAGTCAGCAGCGCTGAACCATCAACGATGCAGGGACTTCTGGGCCTCCTTCAGCAGAGTGTCAAAGTCCAGTGCATCATACTTACTCTTGACAGGGCCAGGACCCGCCTCATCTGAAACACAAAAACACAGACGGGTCATCCATGAGCACTGCAAAAGATAGACCTGATATTTGGGGGGAAAAAAACTATCAATCATTAATTAAAGCTGCTGGTGTAGATTCTCAGTCATCCAGGTCATAGTCATTCACAAAAAAGTTAAAAAAGAATCCACTGGACTTGGTTTCCAAGTTTGAAGACGTTTTGCTTCCCACTAAGGAAGCTTTTTCAGTTCAAAGTGTTAGATTTAGCATTGAGTTCAAAGCTTTATACAGCTGTAAATTCTTTAACTTTTTTGGCATGAAAGAAATCATAACCTAAAGTAGTGGTACACAAATTGTAGAACTGTATTTTCTAAACGAATAACCTACTTAGAGCAGTAATAAAGACAAAACTGCGCAAAAAAATTGAAAAATTTTCCATTTCATATTTGAAGTTTTCTTTACCCCTTTAACACAATTATTTAAGAAATGGACTATGTGTCTTGGTTGGGTCTGAAAGGCCTCCTCACCCCTGGGGAGGTGTATGAGGAAAAGGGAAGCTTGAGATTGCTGTGATTGCTGCCCCCACTGCTCGGTCCCAGATACGCAAAGATGACAAGTTTGAGTACTTAACACAAACTTAAATGTTAAACATTGGTTCAATCAATTAAAATGTGTTCCATCCAATTAATTGATAGCGTCAAGTGTGATGCCACTCCTTAAGCCGGGTTTAAATTGCGATTTTTTTGCCCTTTTTGGGGCGTCTTTCCAGTCGTGCGAGTATTTTCCGATCGGCCCGACTTTTGGACTGATCGTGTAGTGTACAGAGGGTAACGAGGGGGCATCAGCCTCTCACGACTACCTCGTGAGGTCGGGAGAAAATCAAACATGTTAGATTTTTAGTCAACCGAAGTGGGCAAATCGTTCAGTGGGCATGCGCAAACAAGGATTCCTCTTCTTCTTCGTCTCAGATGTAAACACAGAAGCATGGCGGGGGTGCGGGTGAAATGGAGTTCTTTCTGTAAAATTGACAAACCGTAGTAGCTACGTTTGCTCAGCCATGTCTTTGTCCAAGTACGTCGTCGCCTTTTCTTGTTAGGGCTTTCAGCACAAAATTGCACAAATTGCCAAGGCAGCGCGTTTCACTCTAGTGAGCTTCATATTCTTTTTCTACTGGTTTGGCTTCCAGATTCCAGAGTCCAAATAGCGCCATCTCACAGCGGAGCTGAGTCTCACATGGTTTTTAGACGTACAGTGTGAGCAGGTAGATCGCATCAGAGCGTAGTGCTGCACGTGCATTGTGAGCTGTGAACTCACACTGTACGACGAAACCACTGGGTTTCGTCGTACAATGTGAGCTGTAGCTGCGAGTAACGATTGAAAAAAAATCGCACAATGAATGCACGGCTTTAGCTGTGCTAGGAAGACGAAGTCATGTCATGTTACAAAACATTTGTAACATGACAGGAAAGACTAAAATCATGGTAAATCGTAAGGCTTTTATGATTTAGTGCATTTTATCTCATAAATAAGTACAGTTTAATAATAAGTAGGAACATTTTTTTTGTTTATTCAGTCAGTATTTCACACATCCGGCAGAGTAAAAAGTGAATAATTAATGTCGTATCTGTAATAACTTTTTTTTAGCCCTTCTAGTTAAGGAAGGATCCTTTGGAAATAAGAAAAAACAAATTTTTTGTAGGAAATGGACATTTATCACTTCATTTAAAAAAAGTATATAATATCAGTAAAGTTTTTATTGATCAATTAATGGATAATTGTGTCCCAAGTTTGGATATTTTAAAGCATAGTTGTGTTATTAATAAATTCTCTTATTAATAGAGAGGTGAATTAATCCTCAAAGCTGTATTTATTAAAAAACAAAAATTGAGCCAATTTTAGCAGTTAATAGAAGTCAAGCTGAAAATTTTCAAACATGTTTGGAAGGGACAATTGATTGTTTCTAAGCGACTCAGTTTGTTTATCAACTAGAAATGTTGGTGGAGGCTGCTGGTCCAATCAATCTGCTTCTTAAAAAATCAACATTGAGGGTTAAAGTTATCACCACCCAAATGAGCAGATGATAATATAAACAAGTATAATTTTCAGTGCAAGGATTGGCAGTAAAAGATGATTTGGTTAGTCTCTTGATTACCTAGATCTATGTAGCGTTTCCTTGTTTGCCTCCTTAGGCCTGAGGGGGCGCTCTGGAAAACAATCTCCCGTTCTTTGCGATGTCTCTGAGGCCCAGACTGACGTATCTTTATCACTCCACAGCGCTCCCTTCAGCAAGACGGGGGAAAAAAAACAAAGTAGGAAGTTTGTTCATTAATCTCATAATCAGTATGATTTCTAAAAGGCACAGTGGGAGTGGAAGCTAATTGGAATGCAATGTATATGACTAGTATTCTTTAGTAAGAGAAAAACAGATAGTAGAGCTAAAATGTAGAATTTAAATTGCATTTAATTAGTCCCCTATGAGGAAATCCACACTGTGGCAGACATAGAGAGAAAGATGGAAGAACGTCTACCGTTCTGAGGTTGGTGTTTCCGTCCAGAACCCAAAATTCTGAACAATTCCAGTTTTTATTTCTACTTTACAACTGTATCATTCAATGTCTCCCCCATAAACCCCCTTAAGAACTGCTGCACCTCTTCAGGGGAAGGTGACCCTGACTTACTCGTTGCAGATGATGACCTTGCAGTCATCTGCATTGCCAAACACTTGGAAGCGTCTCCTCAGCATGTTCTCAGTCACCCTGCTCGGCAGGTTGTGGATGTAAAACACCTGGCAGTTGTCCTGGGTATGAGAAAACAGAACTATCAGAAGAATAATCCCTTACTTTACTAACTCAATCATTTGCTGAGGTAAGTCTGGGCTTTATTTAATCTTTCTTGAATCAACCAGTTTTTAGGTTTGCTGGACGCAGCGGATTGAGAAGGACGCGTACCTCGTCAGATTTCTCTTTGTTCCCCTGGTTGTCGTCTAGGCAGCTCTCAGAGTTCTCACTGAAGGAGAAGGAAGGAGACAAAAGAGAAGGGGAGAAAGTGTAATGTGAGACATTGAGAAACAGGCGGATCAAATCCAATGCAAGTCTCCCACTGGTGGCACAAAGGTACCTTCTTGTTTTATGTCTCCTACAGTTACATCCCCTGTCAACATTTTAAAGAAATAACATGACTGCTGACCTCATCCTGTGCAATGCTGCCTATTCAAACATTCCTGCCTGAGATCTGAGTGATGCTCCAGCGTTTGCTCGGTTACATCTACACATTCAGCCGAAACAAACAGGACTTTTGACCTTATTAACGTGGACAGTAGTTTGTGTTTGATGGGCTTTTTTTTTCCTTCTTTATATGCTACACATCACAACCCATTAACCGGCTGAATTCCTCCTGCTTCACGGTCCGGGGTGGGGGGTTATAAGCAGAGACTGCTGAGAGAGTGCAGAAAACACTAAATGTCAAATGGTTTTATTTAAAATTCAGAATGAGCGGCTATATAAAAAGCCACAATCCAAGCAGAAGATAACCTGCAATGTGTCACTGCCCATCATCAAGTTTAGCCGCCAGCCTGACATCAAATATGGTCATAATTTAGCACCAGAAACCCTAAAATATCTTTCAAATACAATAAAATATAAATAATAATAATCACTTTTTTCTCCTTTTACTGGCATTCAAAGCAGATGAGTCATTTTTAAGTACATTTCTCTGAACAGAAAATCCCCAAAACTGACTTCTATATATAAATGGTGATGTAGTCAGACTCTCTCTTGATAAGAAAGGTTAAAAAAAGTTTTCTTTTTCTGTTCTATCTCTGCCTTTATGTGGTAACAATGATACTTTTTGCATGTAAAGCGAAAAATTACCGGCACATTTTGTCCAAATGCTTTTGTCGCTGTGTGTGCATGAGCTAGCCTATTTAGCAAAAAAAAAATAAATACAATTTTTATTTTATTATTTAGCCCAAAGACTTCATAGTCTGTCTTTCTACAAACACAACGGGAGAGAAAGTTTAATGATGCGGTATTCACAATACAGAACCCTTTCTCTACTCTCCGCCATTTTGAAAGGTCAAAGTTGACCTCATCTCGGCAACTCAAGTATCAAGATATCTTTCCGGCTTTCCAGTGGAAATAGCAACAGGAGTGGGTATATGTTTGCAGTTTTGATGTCGGGTTTTAGTATTTACCATCATTTTTATCATAATACCGCATGAAAGCAGCTGATCATAGGAAAAACGACAGCTTACAAGCATCGCTAACACCAATAGCACTATTAGCATAGGCATGTACTTGCACTTTACAGCAACATCAGAATGCTGCCTGGGCTTTAGCTCCAGTTTTAGTGAACTCCAAATGTCAAATTTTCTACACAGCGAACATCAAGTTTTAATCCTTTAAAATCAAAAATCTTCCCACACCTTTTTACACTTGACCTTGAACTTTTTCTTTTTTTTTTTCGAAACTACACTAGGAGTTCTACAATCCCTTGCCTCAACTGCAACTTTTATTCATCATGTGATCCAGGTCAAAATTTTGACAATTTTGACTTTGAGACTAAATTCTGGACAAAAAGACATTTTGGAGATTAAAACGTTTGAAAACAGAGTGGCTTACTGGCTTATACATTTTAAAAATGTCAAATAAGGTGACTAAGCCGATTTAATGTTTTCTGGTTAATTAGTTGTTGGGACACAATATTGATCAAAGTAAGAACCAGAGCTGATTTATTAATCTCTGTATGAATGGTTGGAGAACTTTAGTGTTTTAAATCCAGAGTTTCTCAGCTGTGGTGAGTTACATGTTTTTTTAGCCTTAAAGTTTTAGTTTTGACTTAATTCACTTAAAGTGACCTTGTGGAACTCTTAGCCACTAGGGGCGCTAGTCCTGTAATTTCCAGGCTTGCCTATTTCTGTTAAAGTAGCCTAACAACTGCTTTTGTCTTCATTAAAGATAAAAGCAGTTGTTTAATGGGAGCCCAGACTGCCGTAAAGCAGCGCTCTGGGTCACATGACACATTGAACGACAGATCCGACCCGCTGAAGTTACAAAGGGGAGTTTTTGAGAAGGGAAGAATGCATGAAGCCTCAATAGTTGAGCAGAGTTGCTTTGAAAAAAAAAATACTTTATTATTCCCAAAGAAAAATCAAAGAGTTATCAGCTCTCTTTCTTCAACAATAAATCACAACATAAACACTGATTAACTAGCTGTGAAGTCTACTGTTACATTAGTGCCTGATGGCTTTTGTATTGTCCATTAAAACCAAAGTAGGATCATCGCTCCTTACCAAACTTTCTCAGTTTAGAAATGTGATAACTGTAGAGCACAGAACTGACAATGAGCATTTCTAAAAACTATAAATGCACTTTAACTTCTTTACTGAACCACCTGTCGTACCTGGAGTCTGTCTTGCTGGAAGGTGAGTCGGGACACATGTGTAGGATGGGTGATGGTGAGCGGGATGCTGACGAGTGCTCCGCCTCCTCTTCGGAAACTGGAGGCGTTGCAGCAAGTGACTGGCAGTCTGAGGAAGGCGATGATGACAACGCCATCTGTTGCTCCTGTGTTTCTACGATTTCAGTTATCATCAGCCTCTCGTCCTCACTCTCTTTGCCCTTTTCACCTAAAACCTCATTATCCACCACGCTGGATCCATGGGTGTCATCCTTCTCAGCCCCTGCCTGTGTCTGGAGGATGGCACCGAGGATGGCCGCACTACGTTTGCGGCTCTCCCCGAGACTCAGCGCGCAGTAATCGTGATCGCCGAAGGTGCGCTGGGTGTCGCACTCGCCTGTCTGACCCATGCGTCGCAGCTGGGCGTAAAGCTCCGTCTGCTCTGGAAGCTTCCTCTGGTGGTGGGAGCGACTGAACCATGTTGAGCCCTTTACAGAAACGTTAGTGCTGGTGTTGGAAGCCGGGTGCACGGACTCGCGGGCGCCTCCACTGTCACTGCTGCCCTTTCCTCCCTCCGTTGGCTTAAAGAGCTCATCCTCCACGGGTTTGTGTGGCGGGGTGGTAGGTGGGGTGAGACCTGAGGGAAGACGTGCAATTTTAAAAGTTGATTTCTCTAAACAAAAATGATTTCTATTTAACCCAAACTTTTCATGCCAACATTATATACTTACTGGCACCCCTTGTAAATGTGGGTAAAAATGCTCATTTATAAGGTTTTCTTTAGCAAAACGTCTTTGCAAACCTCACTGTGAAATAGGTCAGAAACAAAGCTAATAATTTATTATTCAAATTCATTTAGATCAGGGGTTTTCTAAGTTTTCCAGGCCAAGGACCCCCAAACTGATGGTTAGATGGAGCGGGGACCCCCTAATTATGTATATATTGTATGAAATTGTGTTCTATCAAACTGGTCCTATAGTCACTCTATTACAT